GGTAATGCTACTACATATCTTCAAGTGATTATTATTGCCTTTATACAATTTCTCCCAGTGCATTTGGAGGGGTCAGGGATTGAGAGATTGAGGCAATGCAAAGCGATACAAATCGAAGCGGGACGATCATCGACTGCCTCACTGCACTCGCCCGATCAAGTTGCACTTTCTGGCTGCCGATGTTGCTGCCGTGGCTGTTGATGTTGCTGTTGCTGTTGCTGTTGCCGTTGCAGTTGCTGCCGCTGCCGCTGCTGCAGCAGCATTTCGAATGGCAGGCAGGTCCTCTCCCCATGCAATCGTGTGTAGTTTGGAGTGTGCTGCCAGCGGCACAAAATGCTCAACATAAAGGGCAAGAGTTCAGGAAATTGTGACTGTGGCAAAATATTTTCGCTATTCTTCACAGTTTTCCTTTTTTTCGCTTTTGCCGGGTGAAACTGTAGCCGATGCCAAAGCAGCAGATGGAGATGCAGATGAAGCCGGCTTTGCATCACATCGCCCAAGGAGACTGCAGTCGAGAGTGAGATGAACATTTTATTATTTCTTTTCAAACTTATTTCTTTACATGCCGACCGGGGCTTTGGGTATGCTTGAAAGTTGGCGGAAAATTGAAAGTAATTGTCACCTTTTGAGTATTTTCATTTCGTTTTCCTTTTGTCGGTCGGTAGTGGCGTGGAAAGTGTGCCTTTTGTGATGAAAAAGAGAATGAGGTTGCTTTGGGGTGAAGGTGAGCTTCACTTAAAGATGAAAGTGTGACAAATGTTTAGAAAAGAGGTTTCTGGGTAGGAAATTTTATTGACAGATATATAACTTTCAGGTTGAGTTGGTAAATTGGAAGTTAAGAGGAAGAAATGTTGGTTAAACTAAGGCAATTTTTCATTTTAGTTTAAAAATAAAATATAATAATAATTTTTTCTCTGCTTAAATGGTTATAATGTTGAAATCTACTGCAAGGGAAGTTCAAATACTGAATGCATAATGAAAAGCACGTCCCACCTCTTTTCTGCTCCGTGTTCAGATAATTTGTAGGCTTCATCTTCCATTTAATGACTTCATTCCCGACTCCTCCGTCTTAGACACTCCATTTCATCTGGCAGATGCATCTCTAATCAGCAATTGTGGCTAAGAATCTCCGTACATGACACAACCAATTAATTTTCAGATGCCTTATGCAAGCTTATGTGTGCATGTAGGAAATCAACTCGACTGTGATTCCAGTTTTGTTTATTTTCCGCACAACCAATCTGCCGCTCTAATAGAGACCTGAAAGTCGTAGGCACCCCCCGCAAAGAAACACTCGACACAGTCACTCAGCTAGTCAGTTTCTCAGTCGTTCAGTCCGTCGTTCAGTCAGTCATTCAGTCAGTCATTCACTCAGTGAGTCAGTCAGTCGAACAGCAGGCGGGGAAATGGATTTACCACGCGGAAAGTTGCAAGTTAACATGGCTGCACATTTTGCCAACGGGATGCATGCGACTTGCAATAGCAACAGCAACATGAGCAACATTGGCAGCAGCAACAGCAACATCGTCGTGCATGCAACACTTACTGGCAAACAAAATTAAAGGCAAATCGCAACCAATCACAAAGATTACCCCCACACACAGGCAAACAACAAAATGGCTTAAGCCACACAAACCAACCAAGAAAAACGAAAAAAAAAAAAAACGTGGCCCCAAAGGCGCCGTTGCATTGGTATTTTAAACACTGCCAAGGCGCATAATCAAAACGCTTAAATTATAATAACTTTATTAAGTCTCGACTTGAGCAGCGATCCACCCGCGCCCTTGTTGCCTAGATCCAAACGAAAAAAAAACAGGTGTATTGCAGGAAGAAAGCAAAAACAAAAACCAAACAGCAACAAACAAATGGCAAACAGGTAAAAAGCAACAAAAAAAAAAAAAAGACTATCTGCTGGGCGCTTTTATTATTTCTTACGAGTGGATTTTACTCTGTACACACTCGAAGCATTGTTGGCAGAGCTTGCTGCCTGCTGTTTATGATTGTTTTTTCATTTTCTCAAGTGATGAGTAGGATATCTGTCTGCCGTGGCCACAGAGAATCGAGCAACAAGCTATTTGCGACTCACGACTTTTCATGCAATTTTGAATTTAAAATTCTTCACACACTCTTTTCATTATGTGGCTTCATTCCAGCTCCTCCAGATAGATCCCCTTCCCCCAAACAATCTCCCCCCCCCATTCCCTTTCGGAAATCCCCTTCTAGGGTAAAATCAACGGCCCGCCATCGAAGTCGAAGGCAGCGCAAAATAAGATGCTACTCTTGTGGCCATCTTTGAAGTGGTTGTTGTAATGGGTGTAGGTATGCCGGTGTGTACGTGTGTGCGAGTGGGTTAGGAGTGTGTGTGTGTGTGCTTGGAGTGTGTGCGAGAGTGTGGAACCGCTGAAGGAAGACGCCTCACAATCACGCGCCATTCAAGTTTGGATTGTCGCTCCAGAAACAATCACAGTGGTTACTTCAAGTTAGGCTAAAAATAAGAACAATTATACTGACAACACCTAAAAATTAGTATTTTAAGAAAATTAATTAGTTTCCAAGTCCTTTTAGTTTATATATTTTGCCTAAATTCGAGTTGAATGATTTCCTAGTCTAGTATTTTTTGTTACATTGAATCATAAGCTTAAAAAAGCCTTATGAAGTGTTTGAAAAAAGTTCCTTTTCTCAGTCTTTCATCTTGATTTCCCACGGCCAACCACTGTGCATCTTCTGGAGCTCGGTATTACTGCCAGTGCAACTGGCCAAGACAGCACTTGCGATGACGATGACTGGCCGCTTGGCCGCCTCAGTGAGTTGGCCGCGGCTCTGGATCTGGCTTTAGCCCTAAGTCTTGCTCTCGGCTCAGCCGCTCATGATGACTTCGAGCTGGCCTCGGGTCTCGGATTCGAGGGAACGAACGAACGGACCGCCGCCACTTGGTGGTCCAATTCAACGAATTGACTATAATCAGTCTAGTGCCAAGTACGTTTCAAGTGTCTACTCATGCACTTCTGTGTAGCGTGTGGTGGGCAACGCCAAGAGCCAAGAGCCCATGGCCAAGAGCTGAGTACTGAGAGCCAAGAGCCGATAGCCAAGAGGTGCAGCCGCGGATGCCGGCCGGCAGAGTTGGCTAAGCAAAGTTGGCCAGCGACTCGGCAAGTTCCAAGTGGTTTGCTCTCGTATGCAAATGGGGCTCCCGCTCCCGTTCCCGATCCCAATCCTCATCCTCAACCCACTCCACATCCCGCCACTCGACGCAGCTCTCACGAGTGCCGCGGCGCACAAAATTAATTTATTACAATGCAACAAATTACAACACTCATTAATATTTTAGCCAAGTTCTGTGAGTGCACGGAGAAAAAAAAAACCTGAATATTAACTCATCAGAGATTTTTGTTATTAATTCCCACATTTGTATTTAAAACAAATAAATAAATTCCAAGCCTTAGGAAGAAAAGGATAATTAAATTTTTACCTACATAAACGTTTACAATGCAATTTGTTGATATATAAAAAATTTCTTATAAAGGCTACTTGTTTTCTCGCAGTGTTTATTGCGTAGTTGGTCGAGAGTTGTAACATGTGACTGGTCTGGAATTTAATTCGCCGACAGGTCCAAGGAAGCTTGTAACCTGCATGTTGACTGGCCCGGCAAAAATGCCCACAAAGGAAAGGGGAAAAAGGGCGTGTAGTCGGCGTCTGGGACCGCGAGTCTCATACCTAATAAATCTGTAATTTGTAATTAATGTGAAAAATTGCCGCCCGAGACGGGGAACAAGCCTAAATTGTTACTATATGGCCGCAGTCCAAGTTCCAGTCTCAATCGAGTGTGGGTCAGACTCATAACTCTTCCACAAGTTCGCCAGTATGTGTTTCATAAATATAAATTAAGTCACTTGACTAACGCACAACGCGTGTTCAAGTTCCAGTCTGTGCCAGCCAAAAAAAGTGAAAACTTGGTCAACCGATTTACTTTGCCAAAAAAAAAAAAAAACAAGAGACAAGACATACACGAAAACCAGAAAAGATTTTTTATTGCACTTTCCGCCGACTCGCAGGTCGCTTAGATGGCCCCAAGATGATGGCACTTAGCTCCATTGTCTGCCGAAAGCAACTCATGCGGTGTGATTAATATGGAAGGTGGCCAAAATAAAGAGGAAGCGACTGGGCAACTAGATAAAAATACATCCAAGAAATAGTTATTTATAGAAGGAGAAACAACTCAATCAGGGAAGTAAATCACAAAGAGATTAGGGTTAATATGATTAAATGTAAGAAACTTCTTTGTACGTTTTAATAGCGATATGTTCTAGAAGTTGTTTTAAGTTAAAATTCTTTCGACAAAACTCCAGGGAATCCTATTCGAAGTAAACAATTTTCTACTCCCAAGTATTTTCTGTTCTCTATTTTCCTTTTTCAAGAGTTCTTCAAAGCAGTTTGCTTTGATCTTTCTAATTTTAGAGCACAGCTCTGCCAGGCTAAACCAGCATCTGGAACACAATTCATCCATTAGGTAAAAAACAATCAAATTGCGTTAAGGTCGCCTGACAGCGAATCGGGCGTAAAAATGTCTGCATGATTGATAATATTCGAAAGTCGCAAAACAACGAGACCGCAACGGGAACTTAGAAAATTCGAATATGTAACCATATTTGCGATATAAACCCCATTGCCCCCGCCGATTCGATGCGGATCGAGCAGCGGGGGCAGTTCAATTGGCTACCCGGTCAGTCACCGAAATAAAACAATTTTGAGATTTTTTATTTGGCCAAAAGGTAACGCAGCTGAGTGAGTGATTCAATGGAGCAAAACGTGAGCTAAAGACGTGATCCAACAACAACAACAACAGCAACAATTGTGGCAACAACCAAAAGCGTTTATACGCCTGATGAGCGAAACTGTGGGGCGGTCGAATGCTCGATACGGTCGGCCTTTTGAAACGATATAACAATTTTTGTTATTCACTTGTGATATTTTATTTTTTCCCCACGAATCAATCACAATGATTATGATAAATGATTTCGGCGTTTTTTATTTATTCACTATTTTCTTTCAAATTCCCATTGTCTGAATGGTATTTATATCTTTCAAAGTTTTTCGGTGTATGATTTTTTCATTTTTTTTTTTTTTTTGCATTATTAAGCCGGATAATGGACGATCAGTGAGCTGAGCTTGTAATTGCCGGCTTATAAATCACGGTGAAAAGATATAATTTTGGCTCCGATGATCTGTTGGCCGTTGGCCGACTCTTTGATTAGCACATTTGTCTGGGGTTTCACTTTTAACGTACTCACCGCTGACCCATTGAACTACAAATACTTTTGGATTTTGTTTTTTCAGGCCAGCTAAAGTTTAATGCTGATTTATTTCTGACGTTCTTTTATCAGCCGTTTTTAATCTTGTTAGGAAACTTCATTAGTGTCAACTGGCAGTTTTCCTAGGCTGATTAATGTGTGTCAGCCGGGAGGGAAACTTTTTGGTAGCCTAGGTGGAAAAACCTGTCTGCCACCCAGGAAAACTCTGCCTCAACGGTTACGCCTCTTTTGTGTTAGTCAGCGGCATTAAGTCTTTATTGTGTGGAATTATTAATTGGGGTGGACGTTGGGGGTGTGCATAGTAATAAGTTGGGCTTGTACAAATAAAATAATAAGGATAACCAAACACCGCAAATGGGCATTCCACAGTTTTGGTAAAAACTACTTTCAAAATACAGTAAGCAATCGAGAGATTGAATGATTAGAAAATTGTAGTTACCCAAAAGAATTAAACACAAATATCAGATATATTCTCTCTTCCGTATTTGTAAAATGTAGTTTTTTTTTGTATATAAAAATTCCTTTTTAGCTTTTTATTAAAGCAATTTTCCAGTGTCTGCTAACTAGCTCAACTTGCCGACCAGTTTTGGTCACCAAATTTGACAACATTTGCCAATATTTATGAATTATTTCGACTGACTTTATTTTTCATACAAATGACTTGTCTTGGGCAACCAGTTAACGAGTTTAACCGCTTCATTGCAGACTCGCCCAGACGCACACGACGATCCAGATCCAGATCCAGATCCATATCCAGATCCCGATCGAGATCGAGATCGATGTGGCCGGAGCCCACCGACTGAGGTCCGCCAGAAGGTAGAAAATGGTGGACATTTACCAGGATGCCAGCAGTACGCTGCGCTCCGTGTTCCCGAACTCCCGCCTGGATTCGCTGGCCGGAGCGGATCGCCGGATGGAGAGTCAACTGCCGGGACCTCCGGATCCGGATGCAGTCACCACGCCCTCGAGCATCGGCTACAATCCGCTGAACGACGACGACTGGTGGGCCAATGCCATCGAGGTGGACACCTTCGATTCGCCGCTGGCCTTCGATGCCAGCGAAAATGGTCTGTGGAACGGACACTTTGTACCGCCGCCGCCCCGCCCGCCCTTCCTGGATGAAAGCGTCGCCGCCGACGGCCTGACCACCTGTGATCTCTGCACGTGGGCCTGGCAGCGGAATGCCTACTCCCTGGATGGTTCCATAGGTGAGTGCACAGCATTAGTACCCATCCCTTCCCGGCTCCCCGAAAAGGGCGCTCCTGCTCTCCTGCTCCTGTCGTTTTTCAATTAAAAATCCTTGCCAAGACAATAATCTGGCGGCCGTGCATCGATCGCTGATATCAATTTATCAAACTGATGTTGGGCGTGCGTGGCTCGATTGCTTTTCGGCAAGCGAGATGGAGAGACTCCTCCTTCGCCGTCTTTTACACTAAAAAAAAAGAATAATAATAGTATAAGAAAAAACTAAATTTATGTGCATCAATGCATTAAAATCTGAATCAATCCTATATCACATGTTTTTTTTTTTTTAATTTAAAAGTTCCTTATTTGTAATATATTTAAAAAAAAACTTTTTTTGTACTTCATCTCATCTTTTTTTTTTTTTTTGCTGTGTGCACTTGCGTTTGCAAATTTAATTTGCACACATAACTCTTTGTGGCAGCTTTTGGCTTAGGCGTTGTTTCGCCAAAGTTACAACCCGCGATCCGGGGATCCACCAGCACTATCGCCCCGGCTCATCGCCAGTAATTTGTCTCTGCGCTTGTAAAAGAAATCGGGCGGGGAAAAGCGGGGAGAAGGCGGCGGCTTAGACGCGGAAAAATTTATGAAAATATGAAGCAGTGGGCGTGGGCAGCTATAGATGGGTTAGATAAGATATATCCAGCGCGCTTTTTAATTTATCCAAGAACAAATGGAGCTAGGCGAAGGACTGAACTACGGAAATTCGGGGAAATGCACAGCCAAACTAAAACTACTCAAACTCCACATTAAAAGCCGGCTTTCATTAACGTTAAATGCAAATTTCGCCCTGCGGTGGAAAACCTGTTAGAACTCACCCCATAACCCAAATAATATTCGTAACAGCACAAAGCGAATGCCAAATGACCGCTGTCCATACATTTCGTGGTAGAGGTGGCCGCGTGAGAGGATTTTTATTAAAGGAGTATAGAGTTATAAAGTTAACAAGCTTGAAATTTTGGTTTTTATAAGAAAAAATAAGTGTCAAAAAATACCTTGCATACCATTATTTTTAATTTTACACCAAAGACTTAAATAACAACAACATTTGAGTACATTTAACACCTAAAATATTATAGCTATAACATAAAATTTTTCACAGCACGCCCAAATTTACTTCACGAGCGAATCTCAAATAAACAGTCCGCACTGTGGGATGGGATATGGCATGGCATTTAGCCGTTTGCCGTATTTGATTTCCAGGAATCGCTTTCAGGGCAAATTGAAGTCATTATACATAGTAAAACTTCGCCGAGCCGGAGTTCGAGGTCCAAAACGCAGGCTGCGATGGTTGCCTGGCGTTATTAGGCTAATTATAGAGGCGGACTGGAGCTAGTGGCGAAACATTTCAGCTTTTCAGTATATACATACATATATATAAATGACTTTATTCATGCCGACTGGGCGACTGTTTGTCGCGCCGAATGTCTGGGATTTCCTGCAGCCCCAAACGACGTGTCAACTAATTTGCAACACTCACCTGGACGTGGGGCAGCACTTCCATGGAAGTACCTGCGGCAGCCTTTGGCAAATATTTTATTTTATTTTTGATTTTTTTTGGCGAAGGGATTAAGCCCGCTCTGAGAAGAACCGCAACACAACAAAAAATTTGACTAATGTCTTAATTTTGTGCTTAGGTGTTTGCTGCGGTTCGTTTCGGTTTTTTCACCGGGGTCCAGTCATATCGGCTATGGTGGTACACTACACTATAGTTTATACTCCCTGAAAAAGCGGAAAAGTCGTGCCTGGACTGCAGCGAATGCCATTCACTTCGCTTCATCTCGTCGGGTCTCTAAATTGAGTTTTTGCATGTCGTGCCCATGTCTGGGGACTTTGCTTTGTTTCTGCCCAGGTTACTGCGGCTCTCTGTTTCTGTTTCGGTTCTCTGCCGCACAATTGACAGCTGAATAAAATGTTATTATATTTACACCATAATTTGCATGGCAATTAATCAAATGGCATGCGAAATTCGACAACGGCAACGGAATGGTAAAGGCAATCCCAGGCGACACATTTAGTTGGTGGGTGCCGAGGTATTTCTGGGAATTATTCTAACAAAGTTCGCAAACGAAATAACAAAAAGCGAACCGAAAAGTTTCGACCCGCCTAAATGTCTTTATTAGGAGTTCAGCTGGCTGAAATGGAGCTCGTTAGGGTTAGCAAAAAATAAGGTATGAGACTTATTTCAAAAATAGTAGCCCCTCAGGAATTTGTTGTTTCAGAGAACCTTTTTGGGAAAAACATAAGAAGCTTACACACGTTTTGGATGTTGATTAAATGGCTTATTAATTAATGGATTGATACTGCCTCGTTTCCATGTTTTCAGAAGGAAACAATTATTTAAGTCTTCAAAGAAATGAGGAAACTATTTATTTTCAACCCCGCTGGTTTTTCCTTTCCCCAACAGACACTTCCATTTATCGAACCATTTCAATAATAGGATATCCCTATTTTTATGGTACTTCCTGCTAGCTTAAAGCACTCGTTTGGCCATTCTAGTCTCACATGTTTTTTGCTTTATGGCAGATTAACCTAACCGCTTGATTATTTCAACAACATATTTTGTATAATTTATGCCCCACTTTATGCCTCCCGTCGCACCCATAACAATAACAAAACGAAAAAAGAACGCATAAAGGGTAACAATTCTATATTCTGCAAATATTTACAGCAATTTGTGGCACAATAATAAAAAGGAAAGGTCTCAGAGTCCGAAGCCAAAGTCAGAGCAAGCCAAACCAAACGAAACCCAAAAAAGGACTCGTGTTTGACTTTGTGCGGCTGTTGAATAAATGTTTTATAGCAATAACAACGATATCAACAACATCGGGGGAACAATGAGTAAAGGCCAGGTCCGTCCAACAAAAACAGCAGCTGTTGAAGTCGACGGCTCCTTCCGCTTATTTTGATATTTTTATTGTGGTGGTGGAATAAATTCAAATAAATAAATTTAAGTTGCTGACTTTCGTCGCATAAAGCATTACATGGCAACGAAACGAATTCTGAAGTTCTCGCCGTCCTTTTCTGGTCCATTAGAGCCTTTGTCCTCCGGCTACATCATAAATATTGAAGGACCATAGACGAAAGCATTTATGGCCAGATTTATGCTAGCTCAACGCAATTCGAAAAGTTATTTCCCTACAATAACAAGATTAGTAAAACATATGATGCGATAAAAGCTGGAGTGGGAATAAGAGGCTTACAACTTTAACAGTTCCTTAAATGTTGATAAAGATCTGCATACTATTTGGCTAAAATACTAATATAAGCATGAAAAATTTATTTCAATTGGAATTCAACTCGCCATTGTTTAAAGCATTTCCCAATAGTTTTCGATCAACTTCCCATTTAAACTTTAATCCATCTTCTTTTATTTGCTAACAAATAGTTCAACATTTTCCGCTCCGGCTGTGTTCATTGACCATTGGATACCACTCGTAAACGCCAAGCTTTCGTCCAAATACATGACTAATCTGAAGATTATAAAGCTTATGCAAAACCGCAAGAGACGTGATTCGTTTTTTTTTTTCGGCATCTGTTGCGAGATATTCGAAATGTAAGCGGAAATGAGTGAATTTTTTTAGAGTTTTATTATTCGTTCTTGCCACTTTTTGTGATGTACTACCTCGCGGTTCCTTCTGTGTGCTCTGAGTCGTATAATTGTTGCAGCGAACGCACTGTGGCCTGAAGCCATAAAAAGTAAACATAACACACAGCCCCGAGGAGCTGAATGGGGAAGTGAGAAAACTTATTTGCTATTTTCATGGAATTTTCCATAATTTCTGCTTCGCTTGTTGTTGGAGTTTCCTCCTAGATTTGTTCGCTTTTTTGTGGCTTTCCCCCCACCCAGCCATGCAAAAATGTTTTAAAAAGATAAACAAGAACCGCTCGGGAAAGAGATCGAAAAATTATTATTACTGCCAGTGCATCAGAAAGATTATGACGGTACTGGCTGGCTCTTTTCTTCTGTTTCTGTCTTTTTGTGTGTGGGATTTTTTTCCACAATATTTTTAACTTTGTTTACATTTTGCATTTTTATTGTGGCGTCGTCGTGGACTCGCTCCCTTGCTCAGTTTTGCTCCGCTTTTGTTCCTTTTTTAATCAATTAGGGCGAGTCTTGCGTAGGGGGAAGAATCGGAGTCCCCGGGCAGAAAAATGAGATCACAGCCCCGAGAAACGTGCTGGACCACACACACTCTGTATAAGAAACTAAAAAATGCGGGCGCAGAACTAATAGAATTGCTGAAATGCTGATTAAAATAGTTTTCACTTTTTAATTACAATTTATGGGCTTAATTTCGTGCCATTATTCTTGGGGCTTCGTCTGAAACGCTTTAATGCAGTAAGAAAAATTTATTGAAAACCAAAAAACATAAAGTTTACTTTCCAAAAGTTTGATCTATGAACATCATACGTTATATGCTACAACATATAACATGCAATATAAGAGACAACTATGTGAAAGCACCAGTTGTTAACTTGAACAAATATTTTATTTAGAATAAACATATTATTTTTTTAGGTGTACTAATTATTAGTGAAACGATATCCGACTCCTCTTTTCAAGATCAAAGAGCCATCTCGCAAAACGTCAGACAAACATTGTCTCGTTCTCTGGCGACAACTTCAAAGGAAACCGTAGACTCACTTTTCCAGCGCCCAAACATAAACACTTCAGAAGGAGGAGTACACTATATTCGTTGGCGTTGAAAAATAAAAATTAAAAATCAATTTTTCCTAGACTTCTCCCCCACATAAAAAAAAACATACAGCTCATTAGCAAAGGGGGAGGTGGAGCAAAAAAATAAAAGAAAACCAAAACTAAATGGGAAACTTACGAAATTTTGCACCGAGGCGACAAATTCTGTCTGGTATATTTTTAGGGACTGAAAATCTAATTTACTAATGAGCCGTGAGCATTCGAGAAATGCACATAAATTTCGCCTAATTGAAAATCCATGCGCGG